TTTTTTTTTTTTTTTTTTGGGATTTTTTGGGAATTTTTCGGGGGTTTTTTTGGGGATTTTTGGGGATTTTTCGGGGTTTTTTTGGGTTTTTCAAGAATTTTTTTGGGAATTTTTGGGAATCTTTTAGGGAATGTTTTGGGAGATTTATTTGGGAATTTTGGGGAGTTTTTCGGGATTTTTTTGGAAATATTTGGGAATTTTTGGGGGATTTTTTTGGGAATTTTTTGGGATTTTTTTGGGAATTTTTGGGATTTTTTTGGGGAATTTTTTGGGATTTTTTTGGGAAATATTTGGGATTTTTTGGGAATTCTTTGGGAATTTCTGGGAAATATTTGGGATTTTTTTGGGGAACTTTTGGGGATTTTTGGGAATTTTTGGGGAATTCTTTGGGAATTTTGGGAATTTTTGGGGAATTCTTTGGGAATTTTGGGAATTTTTTGGGAATTCTTTGGGAATTTTGGGAATTTTTTGCCTCCCTGGGGGAGTTTGGGGTTCCCGATTTGGGATTTTCGGGAGTCCGGGGGGAATTTTGGGGTTTCCGGGGCGGTTTTGGGGGATTTTGGGATCCTGAGCCCATTTTTGGGGTCCCCCAACCCCAATTTTGGGGTCCCAAGTTCGTTTTCGGGTCCCTGACCCAAATTCCTGGTCCCAAATCCCATTTTTTGATGTCCCAACCCCAATTTTGGGGTCCCCCACCCCATTTTCAGGCCCCCAGACCCCGATTTCGGACCCCCAACCCCGTTTTGGGGTCCCTGACCCTGATTTGGGGTCCCCCAGCCCCATTTTTGGGTCCCCGAGCCCATTTTGGGTCCCTGAGCCCATTTTTGGGTCCCCCAACCCCATTTTGGGGTCCCCAACCCCGTTTTGGGGTCCCCCAACCCCATTTTCAGGTCCCCAACCCCATTTTCAGGCCCCCCAGCCCCATTTTTGGGTCTCCCAACCCCATTTTGGGGTCCCCGAGCCCGTTTTGGGGTCCCTGAATCCTATTTTGGGGTCCCCAACCCCATTTTTGGGGTCCCCGAGCCCGTTTTGGGGTCCCCCAATCCCATTTTGGGCCCCCCAGACCCCATTTTTGGGTCCCCCAACCCCATTTTTGGGGTCCCCAACCAAATTTTCAGGTGTCCCAACCCCATTTTTGGAGTCCCCGAGCCCGTTTTGGGGTCCCCAACCCCATTTTCAGGTGTCCCAACCCCATTTTTGGGGTCCCCAACCCCGTTTTGGGGTCCCCAACCCCATTTTCAGGTGTCCCAACCCCATTTTTGGGGTCCCCAACCCCGTTTTGGGGTCCCCAACCCCATTTTCAGGTGTCCCAACCCCATTTTTGGGGTCCCCGAGCCCATTTTGGGTCCCCCAACCCCATTTTTGGGGTCCCCGAGCCCGTTTTTGGGTCCCCCAACCCCATTTTTGGGGTCCCCGAGCCCGTTTTTGGGGTCCCCCAACCCCGTTTCCGCCCCGCAGGTGGTGCTGCTGTCGGCCACGATGCCGCTGGACGTGCTGGAGGTGACCAAGAAGTTCATGCGGGAGCCGATCCGGATCCTGGTGAAGAAGGAGGAGCTGACGCTGGAGGGGATCCGGCAGTTCTACATCAACGTCGAGAGGGAGGTGCGACGGCAAATCCCGGCCCGGGGACAAAACTCGGAGGCTTTGGGGCAAAACTGGGGCGCTTTGGGTCGAGGTTAGGGGGTCTGGGGGCAGAATTCTGGGGTTTGGGGGCGAAATTCTGGGTCTGGGGG